AGAAAATGCAATTATAATTCAGATGACAGTGGCATGGGGGAGGGGATGAACTGATCTTTCATCTGCGTGTTATTAACAGGAATGTGGTGGTGTTAGTAAGATAAACAGCCATGAATCAGCATGTGCGTTGAAAGTTAGGATGAAGGTTTCATGTTTTTGTAATCATTACTAACTAACTTGTGATATCAAAAGAGGAAACACAGTAGGATACCACAAAAAAATACAGACTATGCTTTTAAGTACTACTAGCTTTACATCTTTAATTTGCGTACATCAACAATCAAAACAATCCTAATGCTAAATTCATCTCCAGAGACTTCAGCTGAGTTGAATTCTGAATCACACCGAATGACAGTGCTGAGGTGGGAAATGCTAATGGTATTGTCCCCAAGCTCATTAAATGTACCTGAGACACAACGTACCTTGTACAGCCATTTATTAGCATTGTCATTGCAGAAAACCACAGTGATCTTTAGGAAATTCAGGGCTCCGTTTGTATATTCACACGGTAAGAGAGAGTTATCTGGCCTTATGAGCATTAAGCACAAAAATGAAAGGCATGGAGGGCATCAGGGAGGAAGCAAAGCTCTATTTTCAAATGAAGGAATAAAAAAAAAAAACCAAAAAGGTTAAGTTTCTTACTCAAGGTCATGCAGAAAGAGCTCAGAGCATGGTTCAGGAATGAGTTCAGATTGCCTGAATTCTAGCCCATGGCCTGAACTGTAGAGCAAATGAGCTTTCCCCACACATTAGTCTAATCCAAACATCATATAGCAGCAGCAAGTAGTCAAAAGCAAGCCAAAATCTACTCCCAGTGGAGTGACTTTGTCAAGTGAGAACTGAGGCAGACCTGGAATGTCAAAGACTTTTGGCTGTCATTTTATCAAGATAAAAAATAAATTAGAGGAGGCAGCTTCTCTGTGAATTATCTGTAATGAAACAGCCAAAGCCCTGAACCTTTCTGCCCTGAATGTCTTTACCGTCCATTTCCTCAGCAAAGATGTATGGGCAATCAGATGAAACAACTTTGAAAGCCATTGTGTTGAATAGCGTTGTTCTGGAGGCTGCAGCTTTCAGTGTCTCTGCTGAAGCAGTACAGCAAGCACAAGCGTCTGATGTTCCTACAAATAACTCAAACACACAAATAACAATCGGATTTGTGACAGGCAAGAGACCTACAGGACCATGTGATGAAGAAGGCATGTAGAAACAGCACCTACTTAATAAAATTCCTCCATTTTCTACAACCGAGCAGCAAAATATGTCAGGGACATTAGATTGAAGAACTTCAGTAGGAAAATGGCTTTGTAATTTTTTAGGTTTGGGTTTCCTTTGTTGCTGTGCAAAAATAAAGTAAGGATTCAGGTTGTTTAGACTGAGGAACAACTCTGTTGTTGAACGCTGCAGTGTGAGATGTACCAGCCATGGGTCTGTGCAAACAGCCCAGGCCAGGGCAAAGGATTAACCTTTAAACTGGCAGCATTTTGAGACAAGAGGAAAATTTGCTTTTAAGCATAACTAGTTTTCTCCTGTACTGCCATTTATTGACAGAGATGCTGTTGCTATTCTGCTAAGCTCAAAGGAAATTTAAGAGCAAAATGGTGCTCTGCTTATTAAAAACTTCCATAATGTTTCATACCATGGGACATCTGCTAATTATAAAAGGAAATATTGATGCTTCATGGCTGTTGTCACCCAAAAAGAACATCATAATGATTATACCCAGTTTATTAGTAGAACTAACTTGGACAAACCTTTCCAATAATTGGACCAAAGATACTAAGTGCAAGGTGACTTTGCAAACAGTTTTTAAGAAGTCATACAGAAATCCTGAAAGGTGACAGGAAAATTAGACCACATCAGAAAACATTCTTACATTCAGATCATTTAAATACAAGTTGTTGGTTGTTTTTGTTTTCAGTGATATTTACATGCTGCCAGATATAAATGCTTCACAGGAAAATTTCATGTGAGTCAGGTTTAGAGAAACTGGGCCAGAATTCCAGCTCTCAGAAATCAGCAATGCTCTACACACTGCTGGTTTTGGTGCCTGCATGCTCTTCACTTGCACAGTCTTCAGTGATTATTTTCCTTTTGTGTCTTCTTCAATAGCAGAACACTTCTGAACGCCTTGTCCTCATTTTTCTCTTCAGATATCTTCTACTGACACTGTGTCATTGTCAGAATGACACAGTCCTGGCCCTCAGTATTGTCACAGGCACAAGCAGGCTACAAGAAACCCCTGTGCTGTGGCTGCTGCCCCTGAATCCCCACCTGAGTGAAAACAGTTTTTTACTGCTGCCATTTGCCTTTCCCTGCCCTCTTAGCAAACCCCTCCACTACAGAGATGCCGGGACTTTTCAGGGCCTCCAGTGAGCCTGCCTCTGCAGTTTGTTCTTTTCAGACCCAGGTGGGTCCTTAGATGGAGCAGAAAGCCCTAGAAAGATAACAGGATTACAAATCTGAAACAAACTCTCGTAACTTGGCTCACCAGCTTCTTACCCTTTTTTTCCCCTGCAGGTCAAGTGAAAGATAGGCATGAAAAAAGAGAGCTGGGAGGCTACAGTGTATGGAACAGCTCTGCAGATCTGAAGGCTTCAAAGAAACTGTCCCAGAAGGACACAGATGTTAAGATACAAAGAGACTACAACATAAGCCAAGGCCGCTGGTTTTTTACATCCTAAAAGATGTTAACTGTGACACAAGCTAAAGGAAGAGTCCCCACCAGGGTGAAGCACTTGAAAATATTGACCACCACTCCAGGAGGCAAGAGTTGAATAGGACACACTTTCTTCATATGCCATTGGGAAAAACCATGCATGCATACAGAGACATGTCCAGCCTTTTTTAACTTGCATGATGACTTATCTTCAGCAAAAATGGAGTGGCACAGATTCTGTGGATGCTGAACATCCTGGATTGTATGGTGTATACCTGTGCAGGACAGAACTAAACAGAAAGTGGAAAGTTCTTGTTTTGTGATACCTCTGCCTTGTTTGCAAGGGAAATAAACTTTCCTTTGAGAAGGGAAAAAATCTCTAGAGATCCCTTCCAACATCAATTATTCTATGATTTTCTGAAATCAATATCTATTCTATAAAAGGGTGATTGTTCTTTTGCTGGGTTGTTTAACTTTTTTAGTGAGTTGTGTGATTTTTGTTACTGAAACAGTTAATTCAGTAAATGCTTTAGTGCATGTACAATTATGTCACTATAACCACAGTTTATTCTCCTGCAGCTGGCATATAGCTGGGCAAATTTTGTTCTTTGTTGAGTATTTCTTTGCTGCAACATCAGCCCAAAGTCATTGTCAGATTGGGTCAAATTCACACAAATGTTTTGTTGTTGCTCTGAAAACTCTTTATATTGACACAGCTAGGAGCAGGAGGTCAAGGTTCATCTAGCAGGGAGAGAATCAGAAAGGCTGGAGGTTGATCAATACTGTTTCAGCCCTCAGAGCAATTCCTAACCTCTTCCTTCTCAGATATACTGAAAGACGCCCCCCCCTTTAGATCTCATCAGAAGCCAGCTCACTTATCAAAACATACTTTACGTACTCCCTGATACACAGCATGAGAAAGAATCCATCTCCTGACAGAGAAGGTGTTGCTTCCAGACTCTGGTGAATACTGAAGCAGGGCTATCAAAAAAGATCAGAATCAACAGAAAAGACAGAACAATTCACAGCAGATCCCTGTATGACTGAGTTTTTTGGGGGTAAATAACAACACTTTTCTTGATTTATTTTTTTTTAATTTTTTTAAAAGCCTGAAGACTTTGAATCTTGTTTTGGACTTTTTATTCTTCATCTTTAAACACCGAAATCCATAATTTATCCAGATGAAATTATATGTTTGTACTGTTATGACAGCATCTACAGTAGCAAAGTTGTATGACTGTCATTACTGAAGTAAAGTGACCACATCTTGGAGAAATGACCATTCACGTCAAACAACTGCTTCAGGTTAGATATGATTTATTATATGTTATTGCCTTTAAAAATCAGGACACCTGTTTGCTGGGGAATGCATCAATAAGAGAGATGTAAAAACCCCAAAACACCCTCTACAAAACTCAGCTCCAGAGGTCATCCTCATTTTTCTTTCCTCACTACAGATGACATTTACTATGGAGAGGATCAGAAGTAATTTCCATGAATGCTCTAAGCTGTAAAGGGATGTACATTGTGCCCTATTGTAAAAGCATAGCTGTTTTAGAATTTATTGGCCAGCTACACAGGAAAAAGGGTAGAAGTGTAAAGAAATTAAATTGGATTAGTAAAAAAGAGAAAATAGTTACTTTGTGAATTTTATTCTGAGAGAGCCTACAATTAAATGTAGATAAAGAAGTGCTGAGAAGAAAAAGCAGGTGAAAAGATTTTAAACATTTTTTTCTAAGGATTCAGAAATGGAGGGAGTAGAACAGTGAAATACCAAATTAAGTTACAGATGTAACAAAAACACAGGCTCTGATCAGAGTCTGAATCAGCTTCACATTTGCAATTAATTTCAGACTTAATGCTGCTGTTGACATCTTGAGATTTCATCCACAAACGCCTAAACAATATGTACCAACTTGTGCAATGGGGACAGATCTACACATCTACTTTTAGCCATGTTTGGTTGAAAGTCAGTGGCAAGTAGAAATAGAAATACAGTTTCAAACACAATAAGAAGCCAAAAGCACAGTTAAGGTTGAGGATCAGGATTCAAACCTGCACTCTCTAGTTCTACCGTGAAATTCCCAAACAAACCCCATTCCCAGTTTTTATCAACTTCTCACAGCTATTACCCTATGCACCACAATATTCTTCCAGTCTCATCATCTCCATACATCAGCCATTAGATATTGGAGCAAACTCCACCCCAGCTACATCGTGGATCTGACTTCATCCCACACTCTCTTGGTTCACCTCCTCACCACTTTGCAAACTGTCTGACATTAATCAGACTCGAACACAGCCAATGGGGCCTGGGATGCAACATAAAAACAGAGCCTACCTCTTCCAGTTGCACCAGGAAGGTGACATTGTGTCCTTGCTCGGCTGTCAGTTTGCCATCAGATGTGATTATGCGAAGGCCCTGGGGAGCTTTGCCAGGACATTGCTGTGGTTTTGCTGTGTACCGTTCTCTCACACCATCCGTGCAGTTATTAGAAACAACTTTCCGGTATCTGCAAAGGAAAAGAGAAATCTGTGCAAAATGCTGACAAGGAGCATAAAAGGGTTAACTGGGAACAGGGAAATATTTTTGAGGTTTCTTTAGACTCAGGAGATTGGAAAAAAACAGATTTCCAGACATATTTTAGCACTTGTCTCAGCCAAGCATTCCTCATGTGCCTAACACACAAGTAGTTAACAGTGTTGTTAATAGCATGTAACATTTTCCTGCATAGCACAGCTGTGTACCACATATTAATAAACTGCATAAAACATAAAATTATATGATGACCTATGTTACATGTTAAATAACTATAAAGTTATAAATAAATGTTATACACGTATGGTATGGAATTGTTTTCAATTATTACACTGTTAGGCATAGCTAAACAGCTTTTCTCACATGCTACCCACCTCTCACCAGCTGTGAGGCAACTCACTCTATAGATGCAACCCTCCAGAGCTACATAAATGAGACAGTTGAAGAAAAAAGCAAATTTTGCCTATCTTTGAGTCTACAAAATGCCAAAAAAAAGGTTGGATTCCTTTGTTTGCTTGAATCACTTCAATCAGAAATGAAGTTTGAGGTCAGTATCTTAACTTAAACTACATTTTCCATTGACTTCCAAGAGGGCCAAAACCAGTCAGCATTTGGGCTAGCTGCCAATCTATTGCTTCTGTTCACATATATATCAGTTTAATCTCTTTCCTCTAATTTGTTTTCCACCCTTTCTGCCTCACCTGATCCCATATGATTTTAAGAGGACTCTTTTCAGAGACTTTAATGATTTGGCCTTTGCCTTACAGTTTTCCCCCCAAGTTTCTTTAAGGCATCGTTTTTCAGGGAAAGGTCTGGACCACACATGATGGAGATCTGGAGGCCCAGACTGTGCACACTAACAAACTTAAAGAAGAAGAGGTCCCAAGGGTTTCAGCCATCTTTGAGACACCTATAGCAAATGCAATTTGTAGTTATCACTAGGTTAAAGTCCATATGGGTGGTTTAGCTGAAAAAAAAATCTGGTGCGCCACTTACCCAGTGCTGTTGAGGTAACTCTGTCCAAGGCTACAGTCTTTTGACAATGAAGATGGATTATACCAAAAAGCTGGTAAACACTGCCCATTGCTGTGACGCTCATATCCATAATCACTGTTTTAGCATTAAAAGACACAGTCACATAAAAAAACAGAAGAACAAATACAGGTATTAGCTTATGCTCTCTACTATTGATACAAGTTTTGATTTTCCTCAACCTGTCTACTAGAATTTCTGATTTTTTTATTGACGTAATAACAGATTCTTCACCCCACTGTAACTTTTTTTTGGGGGGTAGACTTACCATGCATATGTCCCAATATAAACGAGAAGAACCAGACTGGGTAGTTCATGAGTTATTGCATTATCTGTTCTCCCTCCATAGTCTAACAGTGCTTCTCGGGTTCACTCTAGCCTCAAATATTATAAAAGCCAGAGATCTAAGCGATGTTCAATCACTGCTGTCTCAGTCATATCTCAGAAAACTGAAGTGCTAAAGAGTTAATTGTATTTGGAAAGTGTATCACATGAGCTGTAAAAGAAAATTTACAGCCCTGAGAGAGCTCTTGGCTGAAGGCATTAACAGTGTATTTAGTAATGGAAAAGGCGGCTGTGATCTTCAATTCTATTTTTGTTTGGAAGAGGAAATGCTACCAAAAATCATGTGTTAGAAACAATGAGTCAAACTGTAATCTTTTGTTCCAATTTGGGTTTAGCTATGACTAAATTTGCTTTGGTTCCACTAAAAATAAACAACAGTCCAAACTGGTTTTGATTCCAGGTAAACAAAGACTCTGTAAAAATTGTTATTGTGGAATAAATAAACAAACAAAAACTCTAATCAGTATTCTGTTCACATGTAGTTTTACTTTCCAGCCGCTGAGTAATGAGGACTGTTTGGTTGGAAAATCATTCTTATTCCTTTTACTAAGCTCTCTCCATAGCCCATAACAGAGAAGTTAATGGGATGTCATTTCTGAGGACTGATATAGAGAGTCCACCAACTCCATTCCAATATTCTAGGTGCAACATCATCCTTGATCTTAAAATGGTACTTCTTTGCAAAGCACTTTTTTGCTTATTATCTTTAATGTCTTGGTATCAAGTAGCCTGATATTCTAAGGAAAAAGGATTAGGGTAGCATGAGATTATGTGATTAAAGGCTCAACCCTGTATATGTAAAGAAGCAGAGAGGAAAAACAGGAGGCAGAGGAACCTCACTAACCCGGTCGGAGCCAGCAAAGCCCCTGCCCCAGCTCTTCCCAGGGCTGTCACAGGAGAGCCATCAGCCCACGGCTGGGGTGAGAGCTACCAGATCATCAACGGGAAAGGCAACCGATGTTTGTGCGAGTGCTGTGTTTTCTGTTAGTGCTGATCTGTGTCACCAGCCATGTACATATGCATATATGTACCGTGTGTCTATCAGGAACAAACCTTGCTACTGCCTGGGTCGGGGCACAGAGCTCCAGCAGCCTCTATCAGGCTACTGGGTTCAGCATCTCCTAATAGGCAGCAGTGTGATCAATGCTATTTGTAGAATAATATTAACCACAAGAATATTTAGCGTTATGGAAGAATTTTTTCAAATGTTTTTTTTCTTTCTGGACCAAAGCATGATGCCTTAAAACAAAAATTTAATGAATCACTATGAAACAATTTTAAGAAGTCTGGTATTGATCTAAGATACGAGACAAAGGAAAAAAAAGATAATATTTTGCAATTTATTTTTATTAAATTTCTTATACTTGTTATCAAAAGCAGGACACTGAGAAGAATTTTTTCACCGCTTTTTACTTCTGCGTGCAACTTTTCCTGCT